AATATACAACAGATCTGTGCACTGGAAATCTGTCCTGATAGATGTGCTGGCACAAAAACGTGTAAGGACACATCTCGTGGCAAAAATTAAAGCAGTCCTAATAGACTGAAGGTATGTTCTCTTCCTTCCTGTAATATAGAAGCAGTTCATATGTAGTGTTTTTAGAGAGCCACCCTTACGGTCACTTTATTCTCCATGTATCACATGTAAAATGGAGATAACTCAACTTCCCCATCTGTATTTGAAAGAAAAATTCAGTTACAAACTTCCAGTTCCCTATGTCTTTTTTTTGAGTGAATCCTTTCACCAGTTCCCTTCTCACTGTGTAACTCAAAAGTACATTTCTTGTTATTTATTTTGTAAGTCACCATTACTCTGACACTAATTCTCCTTGTTTCCCACCAACACTCCATCCCACGAATACATCAGCTTTACACTGAACTTCACATCCTTTCACATTATTTGTCTGCGAGCCTTTTCCCTTACCTTGTCTTTCGTATGTTCCACATATTCCTCCATATTTCAGCTCCTGTTGAAAAATTATTTCTTCATTTCTTCCAGTGGAATTTCTAGTTGACTTACATTAACGTGTATATTAAATGTAAAACTCATAAGGGTATAATTTTCTTCTGCGTAGACCTGGCAAATCATAAACTCACTCATCTTATGTGGAAGTTGTAGAACCCAAAGCTCTACCTTCTGTTTCTGTATCTTTCTCATGATTCTAAGCTTTTAGTATTTTCTGTCTGCAAACTACTTCACCTTTATGGAAGGCTATGTTTTAAACAAACAGCTCTTCCACAGAGGAGTGCTCACAACTCTGCACTGAAAAAGCAATCACATGCAATCATGCAATTATGCTATGAAAGTTTCCATTCTGTATGATTTCTTTTCTAAAGCTCCGATTCCTCCCTTTGGAAATTAGCATGTCAGGCTCACCAACCGTCACAAGAAAATACAGACTATACCACATCAGTTACAGATTCCTTTCCTGCTTTAAATTCCTTAGAATGAGAAGGAATGACCGGGTAGCAGGAACTCTAACTGACCGTATATTCAAAAGACTTGAAAACTTAATGTTGATTGTTGTGTTTGATTTTTTAAAATTAGAAACTGCACAGTAATATTCTGGGTCACCTTTGATGTATGGATCTGTGTCTATTGCATGGTCACATTATTGTATGGAACTTCCTATAATCTCCTTTAAACTTCTGAGAATTTTAAAAAAGTGTGGGTAGGAGACTGAAGAGTTTGTGGTTTTTCTAAATCTGGATTAGTTCTTATTCTGTTATATATTTCAGCTGTTGGAATAAGTTAGACTGAAGAGAAATTACTGTGATATGACAATGTTATCCAGTGAATTATAATAGTGTTTCTATATACATAAGATACTCTCCCTTACTTTAAAAACTTTTTCATCACAATTCTGGCAGAGTCTATAATTCAACTGCAGCAGTATGGTTAAAGCATAAAGCCGTGATTAATCATCTCAGGCATCTTTCTTCTTAAGAAATAATAAAATACACTGAAAGAAGGTAGCGTAATTAAAGTAATATCCAACTACAGTGAACACAAAATAAGGCTACTAACCCACAGCATGAACTGCTCCTCTATGCTTCTTTGAAATCTTGTTTGCCTTAACTATATGTAGAGCATTTTCTTTGAACTGCAGCTCACAAAGTCTTTCAAGAAGAACTGTCATTTCTTCGGTGATGGTATCCAGATAAGTTTCATTAATAAACTTCAGTGATGAAGAAGGGTCAATAGTTCCACTTAGTATATACACATCCTCTTTTATCATTGTGCACAACGTGGGTACTGAACTTTGGTAACCATGAACCACCTTATCAAAATTTGTTTCACCACAACTAGACAAAACACAGTTCTGTAGAAGATCGCTAACCAGTTTATTCTGCATATTTTGGTACTTTGTTAAGACTTCTGATTCAGGATAAAGAAACAAAAGTTGCTGTATGCACTGAGTTTTAAACTCCAGCTGTTGTTGTATAGCATTCGCATTTGTTTCTTCTTGAGTTTGCAGTCTATTTACTAAAAATCGCCGAAGATGCAACCTGACATCATCCCAGAGAGATTTCACATCCATAGCTGAATCATCCTCAATGGCATGAAGGGAAGACGTTAACTCAAAGGACGTCCCACTTGGAGTACAGGGGAATGAGACACCACACTGACTAGAGAGATCCAGGAGGAAGTGAAGTATCATTTCTTCTTGATTTTGCTCGTTCTTCAGCAAGCTTTGCTAACAAAGGTAAATCAGACAGGATTTTAGAAATGCTTTATTAATTCTGGTCAATAAAATTAACAGCTTTATGCTAGAGTACCAATTGTTTCCACTGATAATTATTTTACCAGCAAATAAGAGTTTCAAACAAATTGCTATATAAAAAACAGAAACAACAAAGTCTATTTTCCCATGGATTTGTGTGCCAATCCATCTCCTCGTCCACCTGCTCCAATAAACTCACATTCCTCTTCCCATCTTTCTTACACCCTCAACCTTGTTCCTCAATCAATTCTAACCCACAATTCAAAGGAAATGTTTGAAAGCTCATTAGGTAAGCCCATTTGTTGTGGTCCACACACACATCTTTGAAAGAAAATGGTATGAAAAATTACTCAAGATTTATACAGATAATGACAGGTTTTGCTCATAAAACCAAGAGAGGAATTTATAAAATGAAACATTGTTCCCTTTCTATGTTCTGGCTCAGCAGGCAACCATCAAAAAGGCCATTCTAAGGATAAAATAACCTTCCCAGGACCCCCTTAAAGAACTTAAAGTGAAAACTTGAAGAATTGAACAGGCTTAGATCACACAGGGCAGAAGAATAAGAAGCTGTGTATCCTGTCAAACCGAGATGCAGACTGATACACTAAAAATACAGCAACCTCTAAATACATCTCAGCCATGTGGGCTGGAGAAGAAGGAGGAAGCCAATTAACAAAGCGTGTGAAACCACATGGATGCATGTGCTCTTCCTTCTTCATCTGAGACTAAAGAGCTCCCTCTTGGTCCGGGGCCAGGATCTCTGACCTTACAGGTGCTTTGGGTTCAAGGAGCCATGCTGCAAATAGCAGGTCCTCTTGACACAGCTCAATGCCTTCTACTTGGTCCAGAACGGCACAACTTAAACTTAAAACCAGAACTTAAACAGCACTCTACAGCTTCCTTAATATGTATAAGACTAATTATTTGCACAATCAAGGTGCATCCAGTACATGAGTAGAAGACAATCCCTAAGTCCTATGGTCAATGGACACCAAAATCTCCTTCCACTCTCACTGGAAAAAAACCTGCCTGTTATAAACCCATTTTCCACCTCAACATTTTTCCTACTGCAGGTCGGCTTTGGCCACAGTCCTAGGCCTATCAACTTGTAAAGTCCTGCTAGCACTCTTCCACCTGCACGAGAGCTGACGGCAGATTTCCCCATCACACTCATGAGAAAACTGAGTGAAACTGGTGGTACTCTTGATTTTCTGTGTTTCAGGAACCAAGCAGGCAAGCCCTGGGTGAATCAGGATCTAGAAACCCTTTCACTTGATCCCCCACCTCCTATCGCTCCTCTTCAATAAGAGAAGCGTTATGGCAAATCATGTAATGGTAGCTCTTTCCTCTCCTCTCCTTTATCTGGGTCTCCCAGCTATACCCCATCCTATAAAGCAAGGCTGATAAAGAAACTGTTGGCAACCTTCACCTTCAGAACCACTGATTTACTTAACCTACAGTATTCGAGGAAATTACTAGTTTTATTTCATTTCCCACTTTGAAAGAAAGAGAAATAAATCAAATTTGAGTATGGTATTGTGTAAGCATATTAATTTCCCACAAAAATTTTCATTTTTTCTACTGTAGCAAGCTTTTATAAGTAGATAATCTACAAAAATATAAAAAATAAAATTTAGAAGAAAAACTTCAGTGGACTTTTTCTTTTCCACCTCTCATGCTTTTGAGTCACAAAACTTTTTAAAATTGGAACTCTCATTCCTTGTTCTGAATAATTCAAAGCTGTTGCACTTCTCCTATGAGAGAAAACAAGAGTTTTACCTTCCCATTGCCCTTTTCTGGGCATGGAGTGTATACATGGAGTGTTACATGATGCGTAAAAAAAACCCCGTATAATAAGTTTTGTACCACAGTAGCTAATTATGAACAAAAGACTGAGAGCATGATTGCCTCCCATAAAGTCTTAAAAATAACGGGTCTTTTTATTTCATTTTACGTGCTTATTTCAGAATTCTTCCTACGATTTTTTTACATACAAGGACGACACAAATGTGGATGTGAATAACAAAGGAAATTATCTGCCAAATATTACCCTATAAAAGCATGTGCCTATGATAGAAACATGTATAACAAGTTAAAATCTGGTATCATACCTATTAACAAGCACGTACATAGGGCTGATTTGATTTTCTTTTATCTACTGAAGAATTCTAAAAAGTTCTGTGGACCCAGAGAGAATGCGTCTCAGTGTGTAAACTGAAACCCTAATCACTAATAACTAACTTGAAGAGCCGACTCTCCACAGGTAGACTTCTGGAGTGTAAAGGTTATTTTTTTAATGCATAATGCTCAAATACTGCATTCCGAAATGAACAAAATAAGAGAAGCTGTCAAAACAGTGAATGTAACTGATGCCTTCGGATGATGAATCCAAAGTGCCTTCCAAGCAAATCCCTACTGCTGTTTTTTAAGGTTAAGCAGAAACATTTTTATTCATGAAAGCCAGTAAGAATCTAAGTATTGTTTCAAGCCCTTTGCAACTTAAACTGAAGCATTAAAAACAGGGAGCTTGTAGATGTCATCTCAGACTTGGTGTTACTCAGAAAAAGAGCCCCTGAAGTGAACTTTGAAGCTCTGAAAACACAGTGTCATCAAGTCTCTTTGAACGCTGACTATATCGACAGTCTTTTCTATTTAAAAATTAACCTGCAAACTTATTTCAAAAGATGATGCCAAAACTATTCAAGAGGAAAAGATCCAAATTAGTGTCCAAAGGTTTTCGAGAAGCATGAGAAGTTCTCTTATCAGCATAGAAAGTTAGCGACAAAAATACACATTTTGTATATTTGCAGAAAACATTTGTGGACTATCAACTGCATTACTACCTACTACAGACTACTACTACTACAGTCTACTACCTATCATACGAACAAACAAATCCAGCAAGATAAAGATTCTGTTAAAAAAAAAATTGTCATCAGTTTAGCAGGAAGATAATTTAACGATTGTGTTCATGCACATATTCAGCTTTGAAATATCTAGAATTACAAAACAGTACACAGGATGATGAAGTTTCACATCATTCGTACTTTCAGGTTTCATGAAGAACCTCTCAGTAACTCCATGAGTTCACAAATGCATGAGAATACCATGCTAACAGTAAACCTAAACACAGTATCTCAACCTAAGCATAAACAGAACTCATACTATTTTTTAATTGTTCCAGCAGCTTAAAAGATAAATAAAATCCCTAACAAAATAAATACATAATAAGGGGTAATAATGGATAGGGATATTGCCCTGAAGTAGAAGGAAGGTTACTGTTACTGAAGCTGTATTAGATGATACTTAATTAAAAACTTGGAAGTGAGAAATTAAGTCAACTGGGTAATTAGTTCTGTGTACGGAGATACACATTTAGGAAAGGTCAGATTGTAATGATTTCATTAATGCCAAATATTACTGAAAATAGTTTGCTGCAGACCCGTTTATGGAGCTAAAAATTATCTACTGCATGTATAACCTCTTTCAGATGTCTATGCCAGTCCGTATACACATTTCTTTTATAGTCTCACCTACACAACAGGCTGGATTATCTAAGAAGTCATCAGCTGGAAACAGCGAAGCCCCAGTTCCACAGATGTGGAAACTGACTTTTCCTGATAAGCTGTGCAGAATTGAGACTTAACGGCTTCTCACACCTTGCTGTCCGTTTAGCAGCCTGCCACAGAGCCATTCCCAAGGCTTCACTGGACTCTACAGCCCACAGCCAGGCTGTCACACAGCCAGTAAGCTCCTGGGAAGCTGAAGAGCTGAAAAGCTCATTTTGTGTAAGATATACCCGAAGTATTCCAGAGATGGAGACATTTTGGTGTTTCCCAAACAAATGCCGCCACCTGGTGTTCAGGTATATGGCTTGAATAGACCCTGGAGAAGGAAGCTAGCAGGGAATGGACACAAGTAAGTCACCAGTGCCATGCCCTCCTTGAGGGGGTTTTAAGTAGGGATCTAACTGGTCTGAGAGGAGTAACAGAAGACTCAGTAAGTCAGCATTTTCTGGGATTCTCTCATTTTTGTCTAGATCAAATATGACACGCAGCAGTCTCTGGCACCCTTGAGCAGGGTGATGATTAAGAGCAACATTCATACTGATCGCCTGTGTTAGAAGGGGACGAAACTATTTCTTCACCACATGAAGGTTAAAGACCTGGTGTTTCTAGAGATGACTTCTTCATCCAAGCCTAATATCCAGTGGATTCAAGGGTCACTCAGAGATCAACAGCCAGTTCTAAATGTTAAAAATTGAGAGGCAATTTTATGAAGCTTGAGCTCTAGGCAGGAGACATTCCCAAAGGAGCTAAAGCTCCGCTTCTCCACAGCACTTTTCCTCTGCCAACCTCAGCCTAAAGGTGTTCATGTCCTATAGCTGAACCACAGCACGGAAGTGACAAAGTACACCGGACGCTGTTTATTTCATTTGACACTCACACACGTATGCACATCACATAAACACACATATACACGGTTGATATAAGAACTTGCAGGCTGTCATTTACTGAGGTATCATCCTTCACTTATCTAGCCAACCCAATTTTCCAGACTTCCGTTTCCACACATATACTCTCAGGTTAACTTTTAATAAAAATTTTGGATAAAAATGCCTTCTAAAATGATGGAATTTTTCACTGAAGTGAAATCTGATTTCTGGTTATGTCCAGTTGTGCAACTTGCTAGCACAACAGAGGTAGCTCCCACGTTTATAGAAGAAGTAGGCAGGAAGTTAATGCTTAAATAATGCATAAAGGACAATAATACCTATTGGAGATTATTATTGATGATTATTAATTAATAATTATTAATAATTATCGTTAATTATTATTAATTATCTCTATTATCTATTATTATTAGTTAAATTCATATCAACACAAGTGAAGAACAAGCAGTAAGAGTAACAGCCATGGTGTAGACCGTAACTTCAGATGCTTTTTACCAACATGTGTTCGCAACACAGTGCTTACAGTACTGAACATGTGGTCGCATCATGAAAAGATTTTGTCGCAAGTTTGTCTATTTAAGGCATGATCAAAAGGAAACATAACCCCCTGCTGTGGACATAAAAACTGTACTAAGCCCTACAGTAAAATTTCTGAACTATCCCCACCACAGTGAAGACTGAAATGAGAAAACTAATTAACTTCAAGAAAGAAAAACCCACCCAGCATATAACCCAGTTTCCCAAACATTAAAGTCTTTAGTAAACAGTTTTACCAGGGTCCTAAGGAACTCCATCAGCTCTCCGTGGTGTGTAGAAGAAGGTCTGAGAAAACTAAAACTGCAGTTGTTCAGCCACTGCAGGCAGTCAGTTGTGCTTTGCAGTAATTCACCGGTACATATTTCGTTTACTTCTGATTGCAGTTCTTTAAGACACTGTTCTATGCTAAAAACAAAACAAAACCAAAAAAACACAGGATTTTTTTATCACTTGGAGATAAAAGCATCTTGTATATTCCATATTTTAAAAAGAAAAACTGCTTCAAATTAATGTAACGCTAATTCTTCTCCTTCGGAAATTAAATTACTCTCACGAAATGAGGCCGGAATTTGCAGGATTAACATTTAAATACAGTCAAGCTAGAGCTAAAATAAAATTTCCTTCAGGCCAGACCATACTATCCTTAGTAAGTACTGCCTCAATTCTCAAATAATCTTGCACTTTTTAATAAAGTAGTTAGTGAATAAGACATCATCCAATCTAATATCTGGTCCTTAGTGCTTAATTAGCTTAGCGCAGAGAATATAAACTCAATCAACCACCATATTCAAAGGTGAATGTGTCATTTTGCTCCTTTAGCAATCAGCAGTTGTTTCATAATACAGAGCATACATTAGTGACTTCTTAAAGACCCACCGACATCACAGAAAATGTTGAAAAGAATTTTAGAGTAGCTGTGCTGAGAAAGCAGATATTTTCTTTATTGTTTTTGTTACTGGAATATTTTAAACAAAACAATTTGTTTTCAAGGAGCTGATCCACTCCTCAATATTAATCTAGAATCACAATCCTGTTCATGAAATCAGGTGTGGCTGGTATGGCTATGACAGGGATTTCAGTTGCAAAAAATCACAAGAGCTGAACATTCAAAATGATTTAATTTCTATTTGTGTGGACACTTAAATGAAAACAAAAAACCAAAAGAAAAATCCAGAAACAACCTAAGTCTACACAATTTCCTACAACATGATCTTTTCAGTATTTTAGAACTACTTTTTTTTTTTTTAACAGCAACGCTTAATATTTTATATAGTTTCAGTTAGAAAAACAGTACTGACTAGATCAAGGCAGATCTAGGTTTAAAACAAACAGAGCCAACAATAAGGCTGGTGCCAGTTTTGGCTTATTGAAGTGCAAAGTGATTCTCACTACTATTTGAATTTTATTCTGGAGTATATTACTCATTCCACCTATGCTCTTACAGCTGATAAGGGATGCAAGGTTTAAGAGAAATTAAAATTTAGCTCTGTTTTTGTAGGGTTACGAGATTAGATGAGACTCAGCTCTGTACAGGTATTTCAATGTCAGACACTTTTGATCATGTAACTTTCTATTTTCATTACATCAACCAAACAACAACCTTGCCTATTATAGTGCCACTCGCCTCTCTACTTGATAAGAGATGAAGTATGGCTGTTTTTCTCTGACTGCTCTCTAACATTTTCGAACTTGACTAGTTTTGGCAAAAGGAGACAAGAGAAGAAGACTAAAAAAAGAGGACAGGAAGAAGAGAAAAGGAGAATGAGAGCAGAGAGAAGAAAATAAACTAGAACACAAATCAGATCTAATACAAGCTGCAACAAAAAACACCAAATTAAAGAACTACAGTTGTTTAAAAATATATATTTTTTTTTAAAAAAAATTAGTGACCTTGAATAAAGTCTATAATTTTTTTTTCTGTCTGCATGAGTTCCCTGTGTGGAAAGATTCCGGTTTCCATGAAATGTCATCCTTTTGGAGGAAAATGTTTTTATTACAAATATAATCTGCTTTGAATATGGAAATTTGAAACAAATCTTAACACACATCAATTTGTAACAAGAAAACAGTGATGAAAGGCCATTCTGCATATCACCCACTGACTGCACTTTGTCATTTAATTCTGCCTGCAGTACTGTCTTCAAGATGCGGAAGAAGTATTTATTTGATTTCCTACTGGATTTTATCTTTCATTGAGTGATTTGCATTTATTCTTTTACAGATGTTATGCAATGCACCCTCAATTCCTACTAGCTGTCTCGTTCTGATCAACAGCAAAGAAGTAAATCAGTGTCATCTATACCTCTGGGAACCGAGTCTGTTAGTTTGAACTGACATTTAAAATAAAAACCCCACTGAACAAAGAAGTAAATGATCACTCTAAATTAAGTTCAGAGATAAAAAATAAAAGGAAAACGCAGACTACTTCTTAAGTTACCTACAACGAGCACAAAAGAGAGGCATATTTTTTTGGAGAATGCCATCAACAGTTACCACCTATGATAGGTTTCACTTTGTGCCTTTTGTTTCTTTAAAATACAGTACTAAATAATAACAAGCTGAATAGGAAAACTGCATCAACTACAATTATAGAATGCAAGGATGATCATAAGAAAGTAAGCGCAGAAGTGTAGCATTTTGAATGTCAGAAAAAAAGTACATAAAATGTTTCCAAAACGACGACTAAATAACTAATGAAAAAATTTTTTTCATCTAAACAAGTAGGTCATTTTGAACAGCTTATTTAATTGTATTCATTAAGAATTATGTGTAACTTGTTTTATGCTTATAAGATAAGGGGGTAAACCATTCAAAGTGCATCCACCCTATCAGAATAAAATCACCATATTTTACAGCTGCATTATCTTCAGAAACAAAATTCAATAACTACAACTAATGCTATAATATATAAAACATTTTTAAAGCTGTGAATACATGGGTGGCCTGTAAAACACTTCTATGAAACTGCCCCAGAAGTCTTCAGACTTTCCTGAGCCTGAGTTCAAAATGAAGTGCACTGAAATAAGTATCTTTCATCCTCAAAGGACCGTCTCAGGAGCACAAAGGACCTCCACAAAAAACAACCGCTCTCTGCCTGTGCCCCCCCTCAGGTTCCTGATGCCCAGCCATGAATACCAGCTCTAAACATGACAAAAGACTGGTGTGTACCTTTCTAACTCTGTTCCCAGGACTATGAAACTAAATGCCGTTTTCGTACACCTTGACTCCTAGGACACTATCAAAGCTTTTATTGTGTTGTGCTGATGTGCCCCATTCAGTCGTACCCAATAGATGACAGCACTGTGCATCATACAAGGGACTACTGTTGTGAGTCTGTGCCAACTGCTTCAACTAGGAACCAGTTTTTACACTCGTATCTGAGTGCGAGCCAATAAACCACAAGTGATGAATAGGCTACAGCCTTCTCCAGACCAGGTATTTTGGTGATTTGTCCCAACGCTGATAAGAGGATTAGGATAAATTTCAGTGGCCCTCCCTGTAGGTACAAATAATGATAAGTGTGTTTGTTTTATTTCATCCTTTTATCTCAATAAAGTAAACATAGAATTAGGACTAAGACTGTTTTTCACTGAATAAAAGTATTTTCATCTTGTTTACTTGTAGCGTACCTTAAGTAAATGGTATCAAAGAGACTGCTATTTCTTCTAAGATTTTTATCAGCACTTAGTATTACATGAACTATAGTTACTTATTCTTTTACATGAATCACATGATTAAATTAAATATTTAGGAATTTGGTTATCTCTGAAGAAAACCATTTTAATGTGCATTATATGGGTTCAGAAAGCAATCATTTTAAATAAAAGGTTTCTGCCAAATAGGATTAAAATTATTCTCAGTATGTAGAATAGTAATTAAAACTTCGTAATTTCATATCAGGGTGGGTTGAATGAGGCTTCGATTTGGTTTTTTAGAAAGGAGATTTGCCAAAGTTTTAAAAACTGTATACAAATTATATAATTTTGATGTGAAAAATGTGCTTAATGTATTCAATTAATTTTATTCTTAAACATACAATTACAAAAGGTTATAAAGTGCTAAATTCTCTTTTTTTCCCCCACAGTAATCCTTTTTCTTTAAGGTTTAACTGCAAATATCTTTCATTAAGTGCAGTGTAGTAAATCAGCTCCGTTGGTTTCTTTTTTTTTTACAAACTGAGGCATCAACCCAGCTGATGACAACTGACACTATACATGTACAGTGGGAGCATAAATTATCTTAAAATCATATACAACCAATGGAAAAAAGCAACCATGTCTATAATCAACCCTATCTAAAATCAGGAATACAAGATCTTGAGTACGACAGTGAAATCAGTTTGCTACTTAATCCTTTCTCCCTGTTTACTGTTATTAACTGGTTCTATGGTCCATATATATGTGCTTAGAGACACCCTCCGAAACACTAAACCTTAATGATAAGGTGAGCCATACAATTCATGTTTTAGGTTCTCAGGTACCAGTGTTGAGACATTGCTGAAGGTGCCTAATTCTTCTGCTGGAAATCAGCCTATTGGAACTATATTAGAATAGCCGTTCCTGTCCACAGGGAAGGTCTCCATGTCTCTGACAGTGGTCATTACAAGATGACAATAATTAAGAAAACAAAAAAAAATAAGAAAAAGGAAGAAAATAGGAAAAAATGTTAAGATTCCTCAGAATATTTTCACCATATCTAGCAGTTTGTGACGTAAGGACTTAAATCAGATAAATGTCCTGGTATTGAACAGCCCTCAATTAATTTTCCTCCACTGATGATTCCACTTTTCTTTGAACCTGTGGCACTATGCAGACATAAACAGAAAAAAAACAGTCACCAAACTATGGAACAAGGAATGGAATATAAAAGCTCAAGGAAAAAATTAACCTCTCTCTGTAGCAAAGAAATCTGACAGTTATGCCTATATGGATTTTTGTAAAATTGACCAATTTTTTCAAGAAGGAAATCTTTATTCCCACACAAGGATTATCTCGAGCCTTTGTGTGCTCATCAATGCTTGAGGTTAGTCCTACCGGTACATCATTATGCCAGTGAAAACGATTTCACCGAAATAGCTTCTCGTTTTTACAGGTGAGGTTTGTTTTGGAGTTTCTTTACAAACTAAGAAAAGTTCTGTTCTGTAATCTGTGTCCACACTGGAGTGCTTTTCTGGAGTCAATATTGTTGGGTATTGCCACTGTAGAGAGGCAGTCTCAACCTGAGAATTCATAGGAGCTCTTATTTATTAAGTTAACGACAGTTTTTAGGAATAACCTAATCATGCAGAGAGGGTGATTTCTAAGTGGCTGCATCAATGGACAAACAGTTACCAACCAAGTGCGATAATGGAACTGATAGTGTAAGCACCATCACACCGATACAACATTATTTTGAAAAGCACGGTA